AAGCACCACTGGATAGCGTCCCGGAATGCCACTAACTCCACTAGAAAAGGATCAACAATACCTGCATAATGAAATCCCTTGACCATACACACCCGCCCCATGACATCTCTAACAACCAAGCTTCCCGCACCATGCGATCCCGGCGCCACTGCCCCATCCACATAACAGGAAAACGGTAACGCCAGATGCGACTGTGCCGGACCCCGTCCTCCGGACGAAATTCGTCGCTGAAGCACCAGTACTTGCTCCGGCTGAACAAACGCCATCCATTCACGCACCTGCATCTCAAACTGACGGACTAAGCATGGTATATCGTACTGCATATGCTCAAAGACTACCCAATTCCGGCTCTTCCAAATTCTCCAAAGCAAAGCTACCATACGCACAATCCGCTCTGTCCCATCATTATGCTCAACCATCCTACGGAAGAACAAAGCAAAGTTAGCCACCCCCGCCAACCCATCCACACCTGTCACACCCGAGCGATTCCATAGGGCCACTGCAACTCTACAAGACAGAAACAAATGCTCCAGGGTCTCCACCGGCTCCCAGCAGACCGGGCATCTGGGAGAGAGTGTCTCACCATCTTCAGGGGGGTCAAGAACCTCAGCCGGATTTTGTCCCCTCTTTTCAAAGATAGCCTCCGCAGTAGCTAAAACCCGCCTAAGAAGCTGCCACACAAAGAATTTCAACTTAGGAGGTAGAGGAAAACCCCACACTTTCTTCCAAAATCCCATATCAAAGAATGAAACCTCCTCCTTCCATCCTGGAGCTGCACGGCTTATCTGAAGAACCAGATGGTACCCCGACTTCACCGTATACTCCCCATCTGACTTCCAAGCCCAAACACAACGATCTGGTACCTGCCGAACTGGCAATGGAATAGAGCAAATCCTCTGCACCACCGACTCAGAGAAACAATGTTGCAGACACTCAACACACCATTTCCCCGTACCAGGGACCAAGAACGACTCTACCCTGGCTTCTGACAACACCGGGGCTGAGGGGAGGACAACAAACTCCTCACGCCGCACCCCTGGAATCCAACTATCTTCCAGCACCCTCACACCTTTCCCATCACCAATCTGCCAAACTAACCCATGCTGCAATAAATCTCTGCCATGGAGCACACTAGTCCACCCCCAGGACGGTCTAGACCCACGCTTAGCTTGCAGTATCGAAGTTTGCGCAAAATACTTCCCCTTCAAGACCTGTGCCAGTAAAGTATGTGGTTCCTGCCAAACCCGCCTAGCCACTTTTGCCAACAAAGCTTGGTTGAAGTCCTCGAAGCGTCTAAACCCAAGCCCACCATCGAATTTGCTACGACACAGGTTTCGCCAGGAAACCCAATGCGCCTTTTCCTTATCCACCGAGTACCCCCACCAAAAGAGAGCCATATGCTTGTCCAATTTTCGACATAAGGTTACTGGCAAGAGAAAACAAGACATAACATAGATTGGGAGCGCAGCCGCTACTGCTTTAAGCAGAACCTCCTTTGCTGCCCACGACAAATGTCGCTGCTTCCATCCCTGAAGCTTTGCCAATAATCTCTCCTCCAAATACCGAAATGTCTCCACCTTAGACCGCTGCACTAGGGTGGGCAGGCCCAGGTATTTGTCCTGAACTCCTACAGCCCCAACACCCAGCACTCCCGCCATCTCCTCTGCCTCTACCGGGTCCACATTCCCACTAAAACATATTGCCGACTTATTCAAATTAACTTTCTGACCACTCAGCTCCTGATACCTTTGAAGCAACTGCACCAATGTTGCACACTCCTGTCTAGACGCTCTCAAGAACAGATAAGAATCATCTGCAAAAAATAAATGAGAAATGCTAGGGCATCTTGGGTTCACCTTAACCCCCACTAGCCTTTTCTCCGAGATCGCCTGTCTCAACAATGCCGCAAATCCTTCAGAATAGATGGCAAACAAAAGCGGAGATAGCGGATCCCCCTGTCGTAGCCCTCTCGTCGAGCGGAAATACCCTGCAGGCACGCCGTTCATCATAACAGAGAAAGACGTCGTCGAGACGCATTCCTGTACCCATTCTATCCATCGCCGACTAAAACCCATCTTAGTCATGATTGCAAGCAAGAAGTCCCACTCTACTCTATCATAGGCCTTTTCCATGTGAACCTTTAGAGCTAGGTAAGACTTCTTCCCTCGCTTTTTAATCTTAAGATAGTGCATCACCTCATGCCCAATCAGAACATTGTCAACAATCTGGCGACCCACGAATAAACCCATTTTGCTCCGGTGAGATAATGGAAGGCAAAACAACAGCCATCCGCTCCGCCATGACTTTAGAAATAATCTTGTAAAAAAGTTGACATAGACTAATCGGTCTAATCTGCTTCATAGACTCCACCGAGTCCACCTTAGGCACCAAAGTCAGCCAGGTGTGGTTGAAGCTTTTCAAGAGGCGCCCCGACTGAAAAAATGACTGAACAGCTTCCACCACCTCCACCGCAACGATATCCCAGTATGCCCTGTAAAACTTCCCAGTAAATCCATCAGAGCCTGGGGCTTGGGTAGCCCCAATAGAGAACACCGCTCGGCGAATCTCGTCCGCAGAAACATCAGCTGTCAGGTCCCTGTTCATTTGATCCGTCACAACCTCCGGCACAGGGAGCCCTGCCATCCTTGCCTCTAAATCCGGCGATTGCCTCTCCGAAGTGAAGAGCTCCTCATAAAACTCCCCCGCCACGGCACCCTTCTGAGCCTCCTCCGTTACCCATGTACCATTTTTATCAAGCAATCCTTCAATAAAGTTGCGCCTACGCCCCGCCTGCGTAACCGTATGGAAATAAGAGGAATTCTTATCCCCCTTATCCAACCACCTAACCCTCGATTTCTGCCTCCAGTATTCCTCTTCCGCCGCCCATTGCGCCGATAACTCTTTCTCCAGCCTGGCAACGCTATCCCAGTCCACACTCGTCCCCTCCTTCAAAGCCCCAATTTTCGTCTGCAGAATACGGGGATTCCGAGCCGAGTTATTCGTCCCCGCTCGGCTCCAATCAAAAAGTAAGTGTCGCAGAGCTTTTAGCCGCTGCCATAACCGGAACATCGGCGACCCAGTATACGTTTGTTTCCAAACATAACTGACCAGTAATCTCGCCTCCGGGTTCTCTACCCATCGCGAGTCAAATCTAAATAAAGGTTTAGCCACCCTGCTGAACGGCTTGTCCGCTACAAGTAAAGCCCTGTGATCCGACCCCAAGTCAGTACAGTGCTTCACCAAGGTTTGCGGAAACTTATCCGCCCAAAGCGGTGAAACCAGAGCCCGATCCAAGTGAACAGAAGCACACTCAATGAATATGTGATTGACGGTTTCCTCTTCATGTTTGCATAGTTCACACCTATTAGCAAGAGCTAATCCCCTTCTTTTCAAGTTGTCTTGGGTCTAAACTCAATTGGTCACATTTGCCACCTAAATTATTACATTTTCAATCAAACATATGCTTATTTACTTTTTTAGTTTTACTAAGCGCTGAGTTTTATAATAAATCATTCTTTTTTAAGTAAATATAATTTATTAATCAAATCTTTCAAAAAAAAAAATTATTAGTCAAGTTTGTATAAATCTCGTCCAAATCTTTTGTAACATATCAAAATATTAGTAATTTGTAGGCTACCGTAAATAACTTTATAACTCTTTTCGTTATTAAAATACTAAATTTTAGATGTTGACCATCATGTGTCTCTTTTAACTTATCATCGTATTGTCAAGTGTGCATTATCAACAAAACTGCTAAAAAAGAATTAATCGTTGATTAATATTTTGTATTTTGAAAAATTTAACTAATACTTTAAAAAAAAATAGAACATATTTATTTTTTTCTGTTGCCAATTATGCAATGGTTGAATTTCGGTTGCGGCAGAGAATATTCCTGTCATACATACAGCATAGAATATACCAAAAACAGCTTCTCCTGTGAGCAAGTATTCGGGTGACGGTATGGAGAAGACCCAATAAATAATTGGATATTATTGAGCACTTAATAGGTGTAATTTATAAAATTTAATCACGGTTAGGGTGGAAAGCGATCAGTACAAAAAAATTAGCTTGAACCCAGCCATTTGGGCAGGTGGTATTTTTGAAAAAGTTGACCAACATTTTATTTAATTAATTTTGTTGGATAAAATTTTACTTTTCTTCATACTTCTTCATGCTTTTTTTTTTTGTAAAAAGTACTATAGAAATAATTTTACTAAGAAAAGAAAATTTCAATCAATCCAATACAAAAGTTTTGTAGGAAATGGAATTTTCAAAAAATATATATATATATATAAAATCCATTCCCTTCAAAAAACGAAAAGATATAACCCAACAAAATTTTTAGTGCTATACCTATAAAGATTAATCATTTAGTGATATGGTTATTTTAATTTTAATGAACGATGAAGGGTTATGACTAATTTTAATTTTAGCGCAAATATCGCAATGATTAATTTCTCAAACCCTTTTTAATTTATATTTAAGATGCAGTTAATTTCTCAATTAGTATCATTTGTGATGCATAATATTTCTGATCATAATATAATTATGATGAACATAATCAATAACTATGTGTATCTGTATGTTGTGAGGGATAATCACCAACTTATAAGTCCTCAAGTTCACAGTCTATGAAAAAAAGCTAAGAAGTCCCTTATCCTTGCTTTAATAAAATCCAATTTCAAATTTAAGATGCATGGCAAATGAAAAAATATAAAAAAAAAATGTTTTAAGACCAATTACCGCCACTAGCTTCTCTAAATAATCAATTGGAAAGTTAATACTACACGTGAGCTAACAAGGAAACCTATACATTAATATAGATCGAGAACGGAATAGGACGAGGGAGAAGAAGAAAAGCGTGTCTTGTCATACATTGCTCAAGTGCTCATTAAATGCGTAAAGTCGTGAGACATATAAGGTAATATGGGTCGTATAAGAAATTTTGTAAAATTTTCATTCCATGAAATAAATATAAATGTAAAATAAAAGATAGATATTTCATTCGTTTTTATAAGTTGAAACGAATTTTTAGCTGCAACGACAGATATCCAAAGAAAACATAAAACGGATATGCATAACAGTCGATAAAGGGAATAATAATAACAGAACAGAACAGAACGCAGGATACGGAAGCCAAAGGTTATCAAATCTTTGTTTACAAAATTACTGGACTCTCCACTGCCTTCCCCCTTTCCTTTTTCCGTTTCTTCTCCTTTCCCTTTCTGTGACTGTATTTTCCCCTTCTTTCCCCACGACGTAATAAGAGCCAGGCAATCAAATACTGAATCCCCTTTTCTGCTTTCTGCTTTGTGTTTTAGTCTCTTCTTCCTCTCCATTGTTTTCTTCTCTCTTCTTTTGTAGTCTGTCCAAAAACAGATATGATTAACGTAAAGACCTTGCTGTCGTGAGTTGTCATCTAAGCTCTAATCACCCTCTCGACCTTCTTCTCTTCGTCGCCCTGTTACCACGTTTACTCTTTTGTGTTTGGCTTTCTCCCATGCAATTAAGGTTAAACACACTTTCCATCTCTGTGTATCGCAACACAAACCCTTTCCTCCTTTCTTCTCCGCTACTTTTACTTCCTGATCCATCTCTTCTCCCCAATCTCTCATGAAACCCATCTGAATAACAACAACGATTGATTGAACAATCGCTCTTCTCGCCTCGTACGGCCATGGAGGTGGGTCGTCTTTAGTGCTCAACTCAGTCCCTCCCTTTCCCCTGCCTCTCTGCCTCCTTTGCAGGTGCCAAGACAGGTTGGTCTCGTTTTTCAATCTTGAAATGTGGGTTTTTCCAATCAACCCATCTGTGTTTTTGTTCGGCGAGATTCAATCTAATGACCACATGGTGTTTGTGAGATTACCCTATATTGAAATGAATGACTTTGATTTGTGATCCTGTTTTTGTGGGGTTGTTCTGTTTTTTTATTTTTGGGTTCTTTGTTGTAGTTCTCTTAAGGAAGTGGAATTGGGGATCTTGGCACTTGTTGCTTTGCTGCTCAGGTTTTCCTGTGTTGAGCGATGGGGATATCACGCGATAATCTTCATGGACTTGTATTGGCTGTTTCTTCTAGCGTTTTCATTGGCTCCAGCTTCATTGTCAAGAAGAAGGGCCTTAAGAAAGCTGGCGACTCTGGAACCAGGGCAGGTCTGAATTATGTTCTTTTATTTCATTCCCTTTGCCCTGAACCATGAAGTTTTATTTCTTTCTTTCAGTGTTGTGGTGGTTAACTATGATGGGAATTGTTATTGTTGCTCGGTGTAGGTGAGGGAGGCTATTCCTACTTGTATGAACCATGGTGGTGGGCTGGAATGGTTACTAGTAAGTTCCCTCTCACGACTTCAGAAGTTTGCTACTTCATTCTACAGTTTGATTCCATCTTTCTTCTTCCTTTATTTGTTTGACATGAACCAATCTGGAATCTGAAATTACTCTTACGTATCCTGTTTCCTTTTCTTTGTTATGTACAGTGATATTGGGGGAGATAGCTAATTTTGCTGCTTATGCATTCGCCCCTGCGATTCTGGTGACTCCCTTGGGAGCTTTAAGCATTATCTTCAGGTATGACCAGAGAAAAAAACCCTTCTGGTTGCTGTGTCTTTGCCTTTTCCTGTGAAGGAATCGGGTTGTGATGGAAACCATTATTTTTGCAGTGCAGTGCTAGCACATTTCATTCTGCAGGAAAAATTGCACATCTTTGGTGTACTTGGATGTGTGCTCTGCGTTGTAGGTTCCACAACTATAGTCCTCCACGCTCCACAGGAAAGAAATATTGAATCTGTGAAAGAAGTATGGCACCTTGCTACACAACCAGGTACCCTTTCAGCTCCAAAGCAGCTCAGGTTTGTTTTCTCAAAGGTTGCTGAAATTTTTAAATGTGACAAATCTTTTTTGTTTGAACAGGTTTCTTAGTCTATTCCGCCCTAGTTGTGATTGCAGTTTCTGTTCTCATTTTCTACTGTGTCCCACGATATGGCCAGACTCATCTGATAGTTTATGTTGGGATTTGCTCCCTCATGGGTTCCCTCACGGTCAGGTTTCTTTCTGGTCAATGTACTGATTTGCTGCTGTTTTGGTTTCCTTCTGGTAACACAGCTCCATCTCTCCCTCTTCAGGTTATGAGTGTGAAAGCTGTTAGCATTGCTCTCAAGCTTTCATTTTCTGGCATGAACCAGTTTGTTTATTTTGAGACGTGGATCTTCACGATAATCGTTATTACTTGTTGTCTTCTTCAGATCAACTACTTGAATAAGGTAGCTTTCCACTGGCCTTTTCCTACGTACTGTAAATATACATTTACATATAGTTGTTGTATACTATAAAGTATACAACAACTAATAATGAAATTTCAGCATCTAATTTCTGTCATATTCTTGTATACTATAAAGTATAGAATTGCAACTGATTCCTTTCTTCTATATCTCTGAAGGCATTGGACACCTTCAATACGGCTGTCATATCTCCAGTCTACTATGTCATGTTCACCTCGTTTACCATCCTTGCCAGCATGATCATGTTTAAGGTAAATGTTACTGCTATTCCCGTGGCTGATGTGATGAAGGTGATGATCACCAGAATATCTAACAGTACACTTTGTTTCTCTCCCTCTGGTGACAATAAAACACAGGATTGGGACTCGCAGAATGCGTCACAAATTGCTACAGAACTGTGTGGGTTCATCACAATCCTGTCTGGAACATTTCTCTTACACAGAACGAAAGACATGGGGAACACTCCAAAACCAGATGAAGAAGCACCCGTCTTTGGAGACACAAACAATAGAGCCCCAGAAACTGCTGCTTAGGAAAATTGATTACTGGGTTTCCAGGATCAGGGAATTGAGTTTTGATCTCTTTCAGTTGTACAGAACAAGTGGGTTGTACAGCAAACTGATCAAAGACGTTTAGAAAGGTGGCTCTGGTTTGGGACCAGAGAGAAACTTTAGAAAGCCATACCTTTTCTTCTCCATTTTCCCAGCTCAGAGAGCCTGTAAACAACTTCCAAGATAAGGTGAGAGCAATCGGGGGGACCTTAGATGATGATATAAGATTAGGTATTTTAGTGAAGAGTTCTATAATTGTGATTTCTAGTTCTGTTCTGTAATTTCTGTTCATTTCCCCCCATCCATGTAGATTAGTGCAATTTTTATACAAGAGAACTTTTCAATTCTGTTTTGAACTTTTGATTTAACCATAAAAAACGCCAGTTTTTTTTTTTTTTTTTTTAAAGTTGACATTTGGTTCAATAATAGCCTTGATTGAGTTTACAGGCTGCTGCTGTTTGAAAGTTCTTTACAGGTCTAGCTTTTTTTTTCTTCTTTGGACTGCACAAAGAATCAAGTTTTATTTAGATGAGAAAATCTAGCTTGAACATGATGTGTTATATGACACAAAGACACTAACTTTTTTAAATTAACTTAATTAGTGTATCAAGCTAAATGGATATTAACAATGACAGACATTAAAATCAACTAAGTTTCAAATCCACAAGTAACCTCAACGTTTCCAAATTATGGCCCCACAGAATTTGTAAACCTCTACTAGTGAATTTGGTGCTCCAATTCAGCATTCGAATTCAACATGCAAACCAATCCAAAAAAAAGTTGTAATTTCTAACCAAGACTGATTCAAGGCCACATAGAGTAGGAGGAAAGCGGCAGACAAAAAAAGGGGACTCTGAACACCAGTCGAAAGAAAGTCTGCTTCTTTATTGGGAGATGGAAATGGCTAAGGATACAGATGCTATAACAAACCTCGCACTAAACATAGTGATTTTTACAACCATATCTAATCAAATACAATAATAGTACATGAACAAGAACAATTTGTTGCATTTTCACAAATCATCAGTTTCTCTCTCTCTGCCTCAACTCGTTTTTTACACTTCGTCAACACAATTTGTCTCAGCTCCTCAATAGACGGGATCGTGGAATGTAGGATTGTATTTATCCATCCACAATGAATTGGTCATCTTGAGCATCTCCATCCACTCTGGTGTCGCCATGAACCATACCATTAACATGGTGCAAATTCTGCATCATCTGGGAAAGGTAATGGTTGTTAGCACTCGCTGCGTGGTCCGAGAGACCGGCTGGATGACCACCCCAATGTGAAACGATCCCCAGCAACTGGCTTGTGAGATTCTGCTGCTCGTGAAGAAGCCGACTCTGGATCTGCCCCATTTCTTCTCTGTGCTGGTTTAACATCCCATCGACCCTCTTCTTCCATTCCAACCTCCTCCTGGTCATCCTCTCCTGCCACTCCCTCTCTTCCAGAACCTCTTCATCTCTTCTTCTTCTTTCCCTGTCTTCGGTCTCTTTCTCCATTGCTTCCCATTCTTGAATTCTCTGCCTTCTCAAGTTTTCCCTATTTTTCTCCTTCTCTTCTGTTTCCTTCAACCTCTCTTCCAATTTCCTTTCCAACTCCTGCTGCCTCTCCATTTGTGGAATATCCCTTCTTTGCCTCTCCCGGTCCCTTTCTGCTTCCCGCTGCTCAAACCGTGACTCGATTTCTCTCAAATGCCCTACTTGAGTTGAGAGAAAACTTAACAGCCTCTTCTCCAATCCCTTCTTCTTCCTCTTATTCCTCCTCGTACTATTACTAGGAGCAGTCACTTCCACTTCTTCGTGAATGAAACCTACATCCCTATCCTCCCTAACCCGGTCAATGCCATTGCAATGCTGCTCATCTTGTTCTTCTCCTTCATAATCAAATCCTAACCCTAGCACCCCGTTCTCGGTCCCATCAATCACACCGAAATCTCCATCAGCTGCATTCCCCAAATGACCAAACTCCACAATGTCCAACCCTCTCCTACTACCTCCCAACAAACCTCCCATTCCTCTCCCTCCTCCGTTCTCCCTATCCTCATTCAACACTCCCATCAACTCATGCCCATTAGTTCCATAAGAAATGGGCAAATCCCCAAATACTTCCTTGTAGAGCAGGAAGTTGGACCAGTGAGTAAGGCCTTCCACCCAGTCAAACTCATCTCCCTCTGAAAATTCTCCCACACCACAACTGCCAGCTTCAGCACCATCCACAGCCATGGAGAAGTTGGGCTTCTTCACCACCTTCTGCTTGACCAACAAGTATTGATGCCTCATGTTCTGGACCTTAGTGGACACATCTTTCCACGTCCACTGCCAGGGATAGGCAATCGGATCGCGCGCATGGTGGACCGAGTTCACAAACAGGGCAATCGGCCGGAACTTCTTCTCCCGCGTTTTCATCTTGGCAAGGGTACCATTGGAGACCATTTCGCCGTACTTGGCAATTAGGGTTTTCTCCTCTGCTTCCGTCCACTTCTTTCTCTTTGGTGGCATCATCACGACCCCAATTCCACTCTACCGATTCCCACAACAGCGCTGAAAACCCTAAATCTGAAATGGGATGCAACTGGAATTCCGAGTTGGAGGCACAGAACATTGGGAGAGACGCAAAGAAGCTCGACCTAGCCCGCCCCCAAATCAATCGCAGTACAGAAATGATCACTGATGAAGTACAGTGGTGCTTACCTAGGAAGGACTACATCAGACTACGGGAGAGAGGATTGGATAGCTGGCTTTCAAGGCGATGGAGAGAGCCTCTAGTACCGTCGAAGCTCAACATCGGCTGGTGATTTTCTCGGGGGAATCTGCGAGAGAAAGTGACGAGAAAGTTGCTATTTTACCCCTTCTGCAAGTAGAAATGGTTCTTCTCTTGGGAGTTTTACTGAATTTATTCAGCACAAAACAATTCCCACGATAACAAACGGTCTTGTCTGTTTTACACGTCACTCTCATCACGGCTGAAAATTATTTGTTTTTGCTATTTCTTTTGTTTTTTTGGGTAGAAATTTGCAATTTTTTTAATATATTTGTATGGTCCAAATTTTTACATATTAAATATTTTTATTTTTAATTAATTATATAAAAATTCGAAATTAGGAACGATATGGAATTTAGGTTTATTTATGTTGATTGGGCGGTGACGTGGCGTATTGACCATTAGTCAACGTGTTTGACCGTCTAAGATAACTGTTGAATATCGGGTTTGGTAATTTATAACTGATCGGTTTTATGATACTTATTTAGTCTGTATTGAGCCTGTCCCTAGATGAGTAGAATAGAATGTGTACTTTCTTCAATCTAACCTGCCCTGATCTTCATTCTTGATAATTTTGTGTCTAAATTATCTAATATTTTACTTTTATTATCTCGTATTTTAGCTATAATAAAAAAATCATGATTAGCTATACTAAAATTGTAAATATGCAAGATCATTAATTTTTCAAATAATTTAACTACTCTAGTTTGTTTATTGATTAAAATAAAAGTAAATATTTCTATTTTTTTTATAAGGGTGATATTTGTTTTGCTTTTTTGTGAATAAAGTACTACTTAAAGAATTCAAACTTAGGACGTCCAAGTTCTAGACTAGTGATACTACCACTAGACCAAATTCTTGTTCGTGAATATTTATAAGGGTAAATACAATATATTAGCCAAACCTTTTGCGGTTAAACAAAAGAATAGCCAAACCTTTCAAAAAACAAAATAATAGCCAAATCGTTAACTTTCCATCTGGTCAACTGTTAGTTGACTCTTATGTGACTAATTCGTGCAGACGTGGCAATGACAATTATTTAACTGTACCACACATACATATTTTAAACTAATTATTTATTATTAAAACAAATAAAAAACAATAATGGAACACTCTCCATCCCTTCCCCTCTCCTCCCCTCTCTTCTCCGGCCAAGAAACTTCGAAACCCTCGATATCTCCCAAACTTTTTCGTTAGCAGCAACCACCTCGTCGTCCGAGAACCTCCGCTTCTTCCCGTCATGCTTTCACCTACCTCCTTCCATGGAAACAAGCAAAGATTCGACACTCCAGTTCGATCCGTCGTTCTTAAATGGGGTCGCCGACGATTGCTAGAGCGATCAAGCAGTTTGGATTTAGGGAATCGGAAGCGATGAAGAGCGAGGGGAAGGAAAGGGGTAACAGAGGAAGAGCCACAGGGGTTTTGGAAGCGAGGAAGAGTAGGGGATTTGGGCAATGTATTGATTGGATTTAGCTTTTGATTCTCTTAGTTTGACACATAGATAAATGGGTTTCAGTTTAATTTGTTTAGATTTGGATGGTGTGGAGGGGAGCGGCGGCAACAGGAGTGGAGTTGATTTGGGGTTCTCAAAGTGGATTGAGTCTGTTCGAGGCAACCCAGATTTGCTGGGGATTTCTATTTTCATTCTCTTCGTATTGTTGAAAGGTGAGAAAGATGTAAGCTCGTTTGTGGAATCGAAGCAAGCCTTGCTCCTTTGGCGATTTTATGTAGCGTTCGAGTAATTGTCAGCAATAGCTCGTTGGCTTGGGTGGTAGGTGTCGATGACAACATAGGGATTAGGTCACGGCGGAGAGGCTTTTGGTTCCACGGTGGGCAACGATGGCTGGGTTTCATCGGAGGATTGGAAATGGAAGCATTCATGGAGTTTCGATGGAGATTGGAGAGAAGGGGATGCGAACAGGCAAGGAGATAAGAGAGTTACTATTCGTCGCCCTAAATTTTTAAATTTCGTCGCCTTAAACCATACAACTTTACAAAACAACCCTTCATTTAATTTTATGGTTCAACCACCTAGAATTAATGCTCCAACCATCTAACCCAACCCATTTAACTCTTTCTTCCAACACAAAACAAAAATATCAAACCAAAAATTAAAACCAAACCACACAACACAAAATCCAACTACAATCTTCTACATTGATAAATTTTCGCCGGATTCCGGCGAGTTTGCCGGAGGTAGAGAAGTAGTCGGTCTCGATCGTCATAACATGCAGGGACTCGGACTAAAGGTAAGATTTCGTTTGCAATTTTTTTTTCTTCTGAAAAACAAGTCGAGCATGTTGAAAATCTGCCTCGACCGGTGGTCAAGCATGTTGAAACCCTGCGTCAGCCATGGAACGGAAGCGTTGTCAACCTGCCCGTTCCATCCTCCAGGAATGCTCGCAACATGCTCGTCCTCCTGTCTCGGCATGTTTTCAACATGCTCGACCCACGGTTCTTTCTTGTTTTTAACATGCCCGTCCCTTGGTCTGGTCTAGTTTTGAACATGCTCGAGTTAATTTTGTGATGTCATGGACCTTTTATAATGAAAATTCACATAAATTATAATATTTATGTTCATTAAGTTTCGTTGTTAATTGTGTTTATTAGGAAGGAGGATAAAAATCTTGTGCCACCATCATTTACTAACAAGGAAACTATTATGGATGATTCGGTAAGTAGTTATTTTTTATAATTTAATTATCGTAACATAATTGTTGCACAAGTAAATGTTTTTACCTTGTATTTCTTGTAGGGTGGATCCGGAGTTAATGAGGGTGACAATGTTGATTGCACATCATTGTTTCTAAGTGATGTTTATGATGCCCATGATCAAGCTTGTAAAGCGGCAAAGGAGATTGCCATGAGTAATAGTTTTTCCTTGATAGTGGCATCAGTCAAGAGAAACGTTGGAGAAGGCAATCCGCGGATCTATATGGATTGCAACCATGGTAGTAGGAGCAACTCATATACGTCTGATCCCGCAAAGACAACACGGAGCAAATCTACAACAGGCAAGTTAGATTGTTGTTTCCGAGTGGTGATACAACAGACAATGTCGATGGGGTGACACCAATGCCATATTTTAGTCCACAATGGACTCATTGTTGGAATATGAGCACAATTCCGCATTGAGATGAGTTATACCAACAGGAGCAGGAATTGTATGCCATCCTTGGAGGACATTATCCACCCACTGACGATGAAGAGAATGATTAAACATTGTTGCCTTAAATTGATTATGTTATTGATGTGTCTAGTGTGTGTTTATGTTTAAAGTTGTGTGGATTTAGGTGCAATTATCAAGGATTGACATTTTGTGTTAAAATGTATGTGGTTTTAGGTGGAATTAATCAATGATTTTGTGTTCAAATTTATGTGGATTTAGTTGAAATTAATCAATTGTGTTCACAATTATTGTTGCTGAAAAAATAGACTAGGCGGGTTGAAAACCTGCATGCACCACGGACTAAACATTTCACCTACCCATCTTCACCGTGGGTTGAGCATGTTGCACACCCACCTGACGGATGGTGCAGGAATATACCCTTCCAGCACAGGCCGTGGACAAAGCATGTTGTGAACCCGCCTTCCTGGAGGTGAGGGCATATATCCTACCCGCCCTCCCGGAGGTCGAGCCATATTTTCTACCCTTCTAACCGCTGGTTGAGCCATATTCCCTACCCGCCCGATGGTGCAAGTAATTTTGTGTGATCATTAAAAATTGTTGTTTGTTGTGTTTTTGTTAGATATATAAGTAGTGGTTAAAAATTTTAATTAGTATATAAACACTCAAACATAACACATCCAAATGTACCTCAAGAAATATTCAACATCAATCTTAAGAAATATCCAACATCAAAACATAAAATATCCAACATCCAAATGTGATGCCTGGTATCGGCTGGGAAACATGGCTATGAGGGGGAGGATCCACTGCAGCTTGACGACACGAAAGCTTCTCCTGACGCTCCTCCTCTTGAAGTCTATCTGACTCCTCCTGACGTTTTTTCCGCTTAGATACTGTAACGTTGCGTCCGAGAACCCTTGATTTTTCCTTGCCCCTTCTTTCGCTCATTGTTGCCTGCTATCAAGAAAATAAAATTATTTATTTTCAGAATTGTAATTGACAACCATACATCTTTTAACTATACATAATAATTATTTACAACCATAAAATTTATGAATTCCAATACAAATTATATTATCAAATACAAATTATATTAATCATCACAAACCCTCGTACTAATTCTTACCCTTTCTTTCGCTTATTTTACCAACTATCAAGAAAATAAAATTAATTCTTCTTAGTATTGCAATTAACAATCCTATATTCATTAACTATTTATAATCATTATTAACAATCAACAACTTTTTCAATTCAAACACTACTTATATTGTCAAATGCTAATTAACATCCTCTCATCACACAACAACCGCAACAAACAGATTCTTTTCTTCCTTCCCATTATAAAATGTCATATATTGATTATAATTTACCATTCAAATTTATATATTATTAATTAAAATGAACATTCTAATCATTAACATTTGCATTTTAATTGAAAAAAATCAAAATGGGTCGGGTGGGTCGGAAAACGGGTCGGACCAAGGTTCGGGCAGGTCGAAAAATGGGTTGGACCAGGGTCAGGGCGGGTTGGAAAACGGGTCGGACCAGGGTCAGGGCGGGTCGGAGACCGGATCGGACCAGGGTCGGGGCAGGTGGGCTACCTGGCTCCGCCGAATCCGCGCGGGCGCCCTGCCTGTGTCTACCACCGGCCAAATCGATCGCCCTACCTGCCTCTAGCCACTGGCGACGGGTTTTCAACCTGCGACGTCGGCGCAACTCAACCAAACGAGAAGAGAGGGAGAGAGAGATCTACCTCTGGCGGGTCTGAGCAGAAGCAGAGGGCTAGAGGCGGACGATGATTTGGAGGCTTCTCCTTCCTCCTCGGCGACAGTGCGGCGGATCTGGGCTTGGGCGAAGATGCTGGCGGCGACGGGTCTCGGTGGCGGCGACGGGTCTTGGTGGTGGAGGCGAGTCTGGGTGAGGGTGGCGGCGACTTCCTCTCCTTCTGGATGGCGCCGGAGCTCTGGGCGAGGGGTGAGGGTGGCGGCGACTTCGGCGGCGACTTCCTCTCCTTCTGAATGGCGCCGGAAAACTGGGTGAGGGGTGAGGGTGGCGGCAGGGTCTGGGTGGCGGCAGGGTGAGTCTTAGGCGAAAATAGGGTAAGGAAAGGGTGGGTCAATTTAGGGTTTAGGTTAAATGAGGGGTAAATTCGTCCATGTATGTAAGTTTAGGGCTATAAATTCAAAAACTTAGGGCGACAAATAAGAATTCAGAGGAGATAATAGAGTGGTGGCTATTTTTTAGTGGCTTTTTAATTTATTTTCTTTTCTAAACAGAAATTAATTTTTGGTATATCCATGT